TCACCTGACAGAGTTGCTTGCTCTCATCGCGCCGGTGTCACTGTCCACATCCGCGGACACAGTGACCTGGGCCCTCACCCCGTCCGGCAAGTTTTCGGTCAAGTCACTTTACCGTAAGCTGTGTTATGGCCAGTCCTTCCAGGTGCCGAAGGGCTTGTGGAACTCGCGTCTCCCACTTAAGATTAAGGTGTTCTTTTGGCAACTGTTTCGTAACAGGCTGCCCACTTCGGCTAACGTTGCCAAACGCAATGACCCATCGACCGGCCTGTGTGCGATATGTAACGTCGCGGAGGACGCGAACCACGTATTCTTCCGTTGTCCGCTGGCACGTTTTGCTTGGAGTGCCGTTCGTGCAGCGGCCAATACCTCCTGGGACCCTCGGTCGGCCTCCGACCTCGTGGCCATAGTAGACTCTGTTCAAGGAGGCAACAATCGTGTGCTTTGGAGTTGCATCGGAGCCTTGGCCTGGGCTCTCTGGCTCACTAGGAACAAACTAGCAATCGAGGGTATCTTCCCATCCCACCCTGCTAACATAATTTACAAATGCAACCTCTTCCTGCAGCAGTGGAGTCCGTTGGCGAGGCGTAAGGATGCCGAGAAACTGAAGCAAGCTCAAGATCGTCTTCGCCAGGTCTACGTTTTGGCTAGGGAGCCCTTCGCCACTTCAATGCCGTGAGGTGGCCCTTTTGTCACGCGAGCGAGCCCGTGTGCTCTATGCTCTGGCTTCGGGCCTTGTATTTGCATCGATGCGTGCTTCTTTTGGCCCGTTTTAAACTCTTGTGACTCCGCGTCGGCGTGGCCTGAGCCTCCGTGCTCGTGTTTGATGGTGTAAGACTCTATTTGTTACGCTGCCTAAGTTGTGAGTTTTATTAATTTAAAGCCGGACGCATCTAGCGTCTTTGTTCTTAAAAAAAATGGCTAGGGCTACGCACACCGTGCTGGCCGGCGGCCGTGCTTATCGTCGCCGGTACCGTCCAAGCCAGCCAGGGCAATCTGCAGGATTCACCAATAGTATTTCGTACTACGTGTTTCTTGACATCGATGTTCGTTTGACTACGTGCCTTGATTTTTGTCTCGGCGCGTGAAAGGTCGATGCTCCTACAGCAGCTACATGTGCATACGGAGGAGAGGCACGCAGAGATCCGCCGATTATCCGCACGTCTCGCAGTCTGGGTACAAAGTGACCTGCACGAGTCACAGTCTATCTACATACAATGATGGTGAAACAGACGGCTAATTGTCACTGCTCTCGCAAGTTGGACGATATGACAGCGCTGCGCCTCGATTTCTCATATGGACCTTGAGCTCACCCAAAAGGAAAACGAAATGCATTCAGAGAGTTGTTGCCTTCTTTCTTTCGTCCCCATTGCCCAGGACAGGCCACGCTGAAGGCGACTGCATGCCGGGATTACGGGTCAAGGAGGTGTACAGATTTGTTAACCATCGACCATGCTACTCCAAACACGCAACAACTCACCACCCACCAGCTAGCTAGCGGACTAATTTTCTCCTCTATGATAATATGTGTCTCATTCATATCATAAAAAATTAAAGTATATGTCGTATAAAGGCCGACATGGCAAACCTGAAAAGATAGCAAAACGTCTCTGAGCTTGACACGAACGTCCGTCATCTGCCTCCAACACCACCACAGCAGCCACTAAAAAAATGGCGGATCACCTTCTCACCGGATCTCGACTCCACTTCATCACTGATATGCAGCTTTGCGGACTTTCAAGTTGGCTCGCCAAAGGCAAAACTATTACCGTTGAACGAACCAGATCAGCGTAACACCCCGGACATGTCGTCGAACTCCAGATCTGGCACCCCACATGACTAAGATGTCGGAGGAGGAAATCATATTTGCAATCCACGAACCACGAGCCCAGCACACATTCCGTCTTCCAGATATCGTCGATGCAGACCACAATCTGCATCCACTCCTCGACTACCTCCCAAACTCCGCATCAACGTTGGAGCAGACGTCGTCGCAACGGCGGAGTCTAAAGACAAATGTCCACCGCAAGGATGCCGCCACCGCCACGAAATCCCCGCTTGAACAGACTGGTTCCCAGATCCTTCACCGACCATAGAGACGACCGCCTCGCTGGAGAAGAATCCGGAGCTTCTTTATTCAGCATCGTCGTCGCTGTCGTCGAAGCCAAGATGATGAACGATCCAAAATCCTAAGCTTCTTGGGCCCTAAATCATAAAGCTAAAACAATCCACACACGCGGGATCCGGCGACCCCCCTCGCCACTGACAACCAAAAGGTCGCCGGCGGAGGAGAGCCGACGGAAGGAGCGGCTCTCTTGGCGGTGGCGGCTAGGTTTCGCTACCAGGAGGAAAACGACCTTGTCGCAGACCAACCAGGCCACCGCGCAACGCATGTAGCGGAACTAAATTAAGTCATACGTGCATACGTTTAGTAAGGGCATCTACAAATGGAGTTGTCTAATCCAGGGCTATATACGCCCGCGACGCTCCGGGACTCACCAATAGACAATGACCAGGCGGCCCTTAAATAGTTCAATTTGCAACCATAATTTCTACTTTCAAAACATCAGATAAATGCCAATAGATGCACATAGATCATCATGACAAGATAATTAGTGCACACAAATACAATTATTCGTACTTAAGAGTACATAATTCAAACATTGTTCAAACATAAAAATGGTTTATAGTCATAATTATAAAAATAAAAGCAAAGTTTATTGATTTCCAGCATGGATTCACATATGCTCCACAAAATCATTGAGAAGTTGCATATGCATCTGTTGATCTTGAAACTGTTGATGCATCTTCAGAAAATTTGACAATATGCTCGGCCTATTGTTTCAGGTGGCGGACCTGAACATCGGGCTTCTCAAAATCATGTGTCGGTTGCCCCTTCACCCTCATCCTCGACAATCATATTGTGTAAGGTGACACAACATGTCATGAACTATCAAAGTGTCTTCGCTTCTCACATCATTGCAGCTCCACGAACAATATCCCAACAAGCTTGAAGCACTCCAAATGCCCTCTCCACATCGTTCCTAGCTGCCTCTTGCAGTGTTGCAAAGTGACTTTGATTGTTTCCATGAGGATTGCATATGGTATTCAAACACCGCCATTGAGGATATATACCAACAATGAGGTAATACCCATTGTTGTAATTGTGTCTGTTGACGGTCTAGTTGCACGGTGAAGATTCCCCATCACAAAGCCTATTGAACAAGGGACATCATTGGAGCACATTGATGTCATTGCATGAACTTGGCATGCCAAAGAAAGTATACAGAATCCATAAATCTTTCGATCTCACTGCTTCAAGTATGAAGGTGGCTTCTTTGACATGACCTTGGTATTACCCATGCAAACCTTTTGGGCAGTCATTCCATTGCCAGTGCATGCAATCAACTGGACCCAACATACCCGAAAATCCTCTTGATGCTCTAATTGCCAATAGCTTTTTGTGTTCTCCATAGTTGGCTATCTCAGATACTTTGGTCCAAACACCTTCACCACAATGTGTGCAAATTGCACTGTCGTGTTCAGAACCGTGGTATCTCCCGTCTGGATTTCAGTATAAATTGCATCTGTGGCCTTACCATAAGCAAGCATCATGAGAGATAGTTGTGCATTTCTGCAGAAGAGAGAAAGAAAGTTGTCTGCAACAATCCTTCCTCAACTTGAAGTTGTCACCCGCCTTCTCCATGGCAGTCATTACAGGTAAGAACAAATTTCTGCTCATTCCAAAGCGACATTGAAAGAAACCTTCATAGTATGTTGGGTCCGCCGTGAAGTAGTCCGTGTACAAAAGCCGTGCACTGAAAATCCTATTCGGGGAACAACTCTCCGGTCCTTTATGAAACCTTGAAGTTCAGGAAGTGCTCCTATAGCTTCTCCGGCTTCTCTTGGATACTCATCATCATCGCCATCATCATTTCAGCATCTTCGTCGTTCGGATACGGAAAATCGATGAACTCGTTGAGTATGACTTTGTCAAGGTTGGCGTTTTCATAGGCATCATTCCACGACGAATCCATCTGTGACCTAGATATAACAAAAAGAATAAAAAAATCTGCTCGGACATTTCATCGAACACATGGTGCGCGAGGTGTATATCCGCAGGAGCAGGATGTACTGGAACGACGACCTTGATCGGTTGCGATTTGGTCGGCACGGTGGGTGGGCTGGGGCCTGTGGTGGCGTTGTGGCGTATTTATGGGCTGGGGACGCTAATGGACGAACGATGGCGGGGAACTACAGTGGCGGCTGTGCAGACGAGGAAGAAAGGAGAAGAGAAACAAGGATGGCCGGGCAAGGAGAGGGGAGGCCTTCAAGAGAATTGGTGCGGGTCCTTACGGTCAGTCCTATGTGGCGGGCATGTGTGGACGCATCCGGGCATTACTATATGTGCCTCAACGCACATATAGCACCATGTGACCTACTCCCTCCGTTACTATATCTGCCTCAACGTACATATATATTCATACATCCGTATGTGATTTATAGTGAAATCTCTATAAAGACTTATATTTAGGAACGGAGGGAGTAATTTGGTGTTCACAACGCATGGGACCTAGCCGATTCGGCCCCTTCAGCGCGCACGTATAGCACCATGGCCGGAGCTTGCCGCTGTTGTCCATGCGGCGCCGTTGCGCGCGTACCGACCTCAGGATGACCCATACATGATCACACGCGGCTGCTTTCCGTGCACCATGACCATGAGGTCTCCATCCTCGAAGCAGCCATGCTGCAATAAACAAACAGTTTACTCACCCCAAACAACACGATCCTAATACGTCAAACGTCATCACTTGCGTTATTCATAACAAAATGGATTGATTCTCACTGTCATGCGTCCTGCTACCTGAGCAACCCGTGCCTGCCTATAAATACAGCCGCTCGTGCCGAGGCAGCCAATCCATCACACCGATCCCAGCCAGCCAACCAAGCTACGAAACGAAGCAAGCGCCAGCCGTCGACTGGTCTTGATCGTGTCGGAGAAGATGGGTTCGATCATGACGCCTGCCGCCGAGAAGCCGCACGCGGTGTGCCTGCCGTACCCGGCACAGGGGCACATCACCCCCATGCTCAACGTCGCCAAGCTGCTCCACGCCCGGGGCTTCCACGTCACCTTCGTCAACACCGAGTACAACCAGGCCCGCCTCATCCGCTCCCGCGGCCTCGCCGCGGTGGCCGGCCTCCCGGGCTTCCGCTTCGCCACCATCCCTGACGGCCTGCCGCCGTCCGACGACGACGACGTCACGCAGGATATCCCGGCGCTCTGCAAGTCCACCACGGAGACCTGCCTCGGGCCCTTCCGCAGCCTTCTCGCCCGGCTCAACGACCCCGCCACGGGCCACCCGCCGGTCACCTGCGTCGTCTCCGACGTCGTCATGGGCTTCTCCATGGAGGCTGCCAACGAGCTCGGCCTCACCTACGTCCAGCTCTGGACCGCCAGCGCCATCAGCTACCTCGGGTACCGCCACTACCGCCTCCTCATCGGCCGTGGCATCGTCCCACTCAAAGGTACGTACGTACGTACAGCTTTTAGTTTGTCCCCTACTCAGTGCGCCCGTCACTCGACGCGGCGCACGTTGTGTCTCCAACACGTGCACACTCTGCCCATTATCAGCGTTGATTGAAGCTCTTATCTGAATTTCTATCTTTACGCGCATGCAGATGCCGAGCAGCTGACGAACGGATATCTTGACACGCCGGTGGAAGACGTGCCTGGCCTGAGGAGAATGAGGCTCAGGGACTTCCCGTCCTTCATACGCACCACGGATCCGGACGAGTACATAGTGCACTACGTCCTGAGGGAGACGGAACGCACGGCCGGCGCGTCGGCCGTCATCCTCAACAGCTTCGCCGACCTAGAGGGCGAGGCGGTGGAGGCCATGGAGGCGCTCGGCCTGCCCAAGGTGTACACTCTCGGCCCTCTCCCGCTGCTGGCGCACGAGGAGCGGCCCACGCCGCGCTCGGCCATCAACCTCAGCCTGTGGAAGGAGCAGGAGGAGTGCCTTGAGTGGCTGGAAGGCAGGGAGCCCGACTCCGTCGTGTACGTCAACTTCGGCAGCATCACCGTCATGACCAACGCGCAGATGGTGGAGTTCGCGTGGGGGTTGGCGCAGAGCGGGAAGCAGTTCATGTGGATCATCCGCCGAGACCTGGTGAGGGGTGACACCGCGGTGCTTCCCGAGGAGTTCCTCGCCGAGACGGCGGGGCGCGGGCTCATGGCGTCCTGGTGCCCGCAGCAGGAGGTGCTGGACCACCCCGCCGTAGGCGCCTTCCTGACGCACAGCGGCTGGAACTCGGCCCTCGAGAGCTTGTGCGGCGGCGTGCCGGTGATCAGCTGGCCATTCTTCGCAGACCAGCAGACCAACTGCAGGTACCAGTGCAACGAGTGGGGCGTTGGCATGGAGATCGATAACAACGTCCGGCGCGACGCCGTCGCGGGGCTTATCACGGAGATCATGGAAGGGGAGAAGGGGAAGGGGATGAGGAAGAGAGCGGCGGAGTGGAAGAAGAGCGCGGTCAAGGCGGCCATGCCCGGCGGCTCGTCTCACCGCAACTTTGATGGGCTGGTCTACGACGTGCTCCTGCTCAAGAACTAGTTGTAGATCGACGTCCATTGTAACTATAGAACACTGTATCTTATTTGTTTGTTAAGAAGGTTCGTTTCTTTTGAGAGCGATGGGCCCTGAGTGGTCAGTGTGGTTGTGTAGAACGATAGCGAACAGGCCACTTAGAGCATCTCAACAGCTGCGCTATATAAGGGCATCTCCAGCCGTTGCCCCCAGGAGAGGCAAAAAACCGCCCCCCCGGGGGCGCACCGGCGCTAAACCGCGCACTGGGGGCGTGATGTCCCCCAGTCGCGGGGCCCACGGTTAGTCAAAAAAGTCAAACACGGCGCAAAAACGACTTAAATTTAACGCAAACATCGGCGAGTTCATGTAAACTTAAACATATTTTACAAAAAAAGAAAAAGAAAACTACGCGGGCTACCCCCGCCGTCTCCCTCGCCGCCCGCCGTCTCCCTCGCCGCCCGTCCACGCGGTTCTACATGCCGAGGAGGCGGTAGAACCACGTGTAGTCACCGCCGTCGTTGTCATCACCGTCGTCGTCGTCGTCGCCGCCTCCGCCGTCCCTGCTGCATCCCTCCACCGGTTGGCGCGGCGGGTTGGACGGTCCGGGGGCGTCGTCGTCGTCGCTGTCGAGGACCACGACGCCGTGCTCGTCCTCGCGCCCACGCTTGCGGGCGGCGATCTCCTCCAGGGCCCGGCGCTGCCGGACCATCTCGTCGCGGAGGTAGTCGTCCCGCGCCCACCGCATGGCGTCCTCATCAGAGAAGCCGCGCCGGGCTATCTCCTCGTACTCCGCGGGGAGGACGGGCTCCGGCTTGGGCTCGGCGAGGACGAAGCGGCCGGCTGGTGGAGAGGCGTTGGCGCCGCCGGAGCTGCGGGTGCGCGCGCTGACCGGCGTGTCCTGGGGCTCCGGCTTGACAGGGCGGAGGCAGGGCGAGCCGCCGGACGAGGAGGAGGACCCCCCGGTCTCCATGCGCCTCGGGGTCCAGGAGCTTCCCCAGCGGCGTGAGAAGGAAGGGGGAGCGGGGTACTCCAGGCGCGGCGTGTTGCCGCCCTCGATGTGCTCGAGGACAGCCTCCAACGTGCGCCCGGGCACGCCCCACCACAGACGCCGGCCGGCGGCGTTGAGCCTGCCGGAGGGCACGACGCCGTTGGTGGCCTCGAGCTGCTCGGCCTGACGGCGGCGGAAGTACGCTTCCCAGAGCGGGCTGTCGGGGGCGTACCGTGGCGCCTCCCTCGCCGCACGCGGTAGGTTCGAGCGGATGCGTGCGATCTCCGCACGCCGTGCCGCGCCGGTCGGTACCGGGGGCACCGGCACGCCGCCAGCGCTGATCCTCCACGTCCCGGGCACCCGCATGTCCGGCGGGACCGGGTACTCGGCCTCGTAAAGGAGGCGAGCCTCGTCTTCGTGAAGATGGCGGCGGCCGAAGCCGTTCGCCGCCGCGCCGTCGCCTGGGAAGCGCTCGGCCATGGCTGTGAACTGGGGACGGCGAAAGAGAGGAGAGGAGAGGGAGGAAACGACGGCGGCGGGAGAGTGTGAGTCGCCGAGTGCGCCGGGGCGCTTCATATATAGGCCAAGGCGCGCGTGTCACCGTGTGTACGCGTGGCGGGCGAGGGAGGGCGAGGGACGCGCGTCGTCTGGTCTTCACTGCGCCGCCCGTGAGGCATCAATTGTGCAGGCTGACCGGCGCGGCAGCGCGGCAGCTTTGGTATTGATTCGCCGCGGGAAACGAGGCGATGAGGACGACGAAGGGCCGAGAAGAGAGCCGTGTCGCTGACGCGGCGGGCCCGCGGCTTTTTCGCGCCAAAACAGTTCGCCCGGCGCCCCCGGGCGCCCCCCAGCGCGCCGGGTTCGGGCTGGGTCCGCCGGCGCTGTTTTCGGCCCAAGCCGGCGAAAATCGGGCTCCTGGGGCGCGACTGGGCCGTTTTTTCAGCGCCGGCGTGAAAAAAACGCCTACGGAGGCCTTCCTGGGGGCGTGGCTGGAGATACCCTAAGCGGTGCACCGGAAATTTCTGGTTTTTAGCGCGTGTGGAACCGCTCAGCGAGCTCCAGTGGAGGTGCAATAACCGCGTGCGCGGCATAAAGAGTTCAGCGTCCAGTCTGAGATGCCATCACGCGCCATTTATTTGGTGTGCCCTCTTCCGCGCGCCGCACACTCAAGCGCTCGCGCTGCACCCTCTCCACCGCGCCACTTTCGCCCCGCTCGCGTTGCCGCCGGCGAATTGGCCCGATGGACGGACGCGTCGGAACCCCCCTCACCCCTTCCTACACCCGCGACCCCTCCGCTGCCGCTGCCGCCGCAAACCCTAGCACGGGGAGCTTTGGCTTCGCCTCCGCCGGTGCTCCTCCAAGCACCAGCATCACGCGCGACCTTTTCATGCCGCCACGGACGGACACGGCGGCGGCGGGTGGCATCGCGCCGGCGCCCGCCGTGAAGCCACATGCCCCCTCTTGAAGCTCCTAAATGCGGCACGGGCGAAGAAGGGCAAGGTATCCGCGAAGAAGAACAAGGCGGCGGACGACTCCTCTAGGCCGTCGAAAAAGAAGCTTGCAGGGCGTGCGACGGACGCGCCGACGACCGATGCCGGCGAGCCCACTTGTTGAGCCGGCGGCCGACGCGCACAAGGTGTTTGATGAAATGCCCACAAGGTAAAATTTCGTCAACTTCTTTTGCTGTTGTTTTTTGAATGGATACATATGGATAGCTTATTTGCTTCGTTGGATATAGTTTGTAGTTACAATGATGAGGCATATATGTCAACTATGGGTGTTGGCTCCAACAATTCTCATTGGTCTCAAACCAATGAGATGCATTTCGATGGTCATGAGTTTGAGGTGGACAAGGATGATGAGGGCATCGTCGATGCACCGAAAGGAAGAGGGGGCAACTACACCATGGATGAAGACATCTTGCTATGCAATACTTAGTTGCAAGTGTCGAGGGATCCGTCCATTGGAGGGGATCGAAGTAGACATGCATATTGGCTCCGGATGAAGGAACACTTTGATGTACACAACAAAAGTAGAATTGACCAGTCCGAAAGATCTCTTCGCTCCCGGTGGCCGACAATCAACCGAGATTGTCAAAGGTGGGCGACCGCACTTAAGGCAGTTGACAAGTTGTACCCAAGTGGCACTAATGATAGAGATAGGGTAAGTGCCATTTCTTTCATGATTCTTCCATGTTCATCATGCATCTTCTTGGTGTTTCTAGTGCTAACTTGTTTTTTTGTAGCTCAATATTGCACAAAACTTGTTCCAAGGAGAGGAGAAAAGACCAAGAAAGGGAAGATCAAGAAAGGAAGACCATTTACCTTGCCTCATTGCTACAAAGAATTGAAGGATGATAAGAACTGGAAGCCCCGTGATGCTATCGATGATGATGATGAGAGCAACAAACGCAAGCGAACTATTGATTTGGATGATGATGAGGAGGAGGCATCAAGTGATGACGGCAAGAGAAACCCTACACCAAACTCGGTTCTGTACTCCAAGCCAAAAAGACCGGATGGATGCAAGAAAGACACAAAAGAAAAGAAGAAGAGGAAAGGAAATGACGAGCTAAAAAATGCTATGGAAGCTATTGTGAAGGAAAGAAAGGAAGCGAACGAGGCGAGGAAGATGGCAAGGAACCAAGATGTCGCGGCCGAAGAGAGGAGGTTGGCGGCTGAGGAGAGGAGGGTGGCGGCCGAGGAGAGGAAGGTGGCATTGGAGGAGAGGAAGGTGGCCATGGAGGATCGAACTAGGTTGTTGGAATGGGAGAAGTACTTGTTCTTCATGGACACATGTAGCCTCGATGAGAACCAAAATGAGTACGTCAATCTTGCCCGTGAAGACGTCTTGGTGAAAAAATGAGCCATGGTTGGCGGTGGCATGGGCGGCATGGGTGGCGGTGGCATGGGCGGCATGGGAGGCGGTGACATTGGCAGCATGGGAGGCATCGGTAGCTTCGGAGCCACCATAGGCGACATGGGTGGCATGGGTGGCTTCAGAGCTACCACAGGAGGCATGAGTTTTGCGTCTCTCATTGGAGGCATCGGAGCACCTCCGGGCGGCATGGGCGGAATGTCTTCCAGTGTGCCTCGTCACACACCTTCCGTTGAAGATCTTGCCAACACCTTCCAAGCTACACATGCTGATGCAGCGCACGACAATGAAGAGGAGGAGGAAGAATCGTCTTCGGATGAGTATTTTGAATCGGAGGAAGAGGAGTATGAAGACGAGGACAAGGCATGATTGTTGACGGGTCATTCATTTGTGTGAACTTTTATGTCATGAACTTGGTTCGAATTTTGAACTTGGTTGGATGATGTTGTGGGTATGAATTTGAACTTTTATGTCATGAACTTGTTTGGGTGATTTTAATCTATGCCATGTCTTTGTTTTGATGTTTGAAATATCATCATCCTCTCCAAAATGCAACATATGGGAACTGGCAAGCACCGGCTTCTCGCGCACACTGCAGTTTAGCGCGTCTGTTAGAGCGGCTCAGGCGCGCTATTATTTGCAGCGGCAACTGGATCAAGCGCTCCTCACCGCGTAAAAACTCGCGATCAACGCGATGCAAACGCTTTTTTAGCGCGTCACGTGTTGCGCGGCTATTGGAGATGCTCTTAATCCAATTGTACTAGTAGGAGTGTAGGGCCGAAGAAACAAATGGCCCATGGCTACTCGTTGCTATATATGGCCTGCATTCGTTGGATTAGATCGGGTGGCTTGGCTTGTTTCTTTCTGTCGGTATATAAGAGCATGGTTAGAGCAAGGTTAATAGCATAGCCGGCTATAATTCATTGCCACATCACCTAAAATAACAACACATTTAAACATTACTTAAGTCCGAATAGGGAACGCTATGACTTTCAAGTAACAGAATCATCACAATATCTTCACCCTTAAGCGAATCATCGATGACTTCATACTCTGGACGCACTTGATGAAGAAGCTGTCACACAAACAGGCCGCGTCCTCATGGTGTTCCTATCTCTTATGATGATTACACGTGCTTATGTAATTCACCTTTGTAATCAGG